GCAGGATATTATATCTCTCATTTCTTTTGCATCTCATACCTGAAGAACTTGCATTTTATTATTCACATTATACGGAGTAGAGAATGTACTTTGTACTCTATTGGTACAGTACAACCGCACAGCCCCCGGGCTCGGCCGGTGACTAAGCCTGAATCTAGATGTCTCATGCTATTTTAATATGCTATTAATATACCCAGCTGAAGGCAAAACTCTTCAGACAGATTTAGATATGGACTCTAAGCTTATAGATTGGTATTGTATTCCGTACTAAGACTTTATATATATACAACCAAAAACCTGGAGAAATGAGGGACAGGGCTGAAGATCGGGACCTCAGCCACTGTAGATTCCTGAAACTCCCGATATTTGCCAGTCTTCCATTTGCCGGAGAAAATACGGGGGAAGGAGATCTCGTCGCCACTTTTTATTAGAGAATCCCTGACCTAAATCTCCCGAGATGCATATTTCATATTCTCTGTGTGCCCACGAATATAGAAGAATATGAAACTTCAGTTCGAGTCCTCTTACCTAAGAATTCACACACCTAAAAATCACCCGAACTCGTGACTTCTACAGTACATAATTGATATCACACATATGAATAACTAAAATGCCTTGTCGGCCTGTAATACTGCCTTGATTCTCTTATCCATGGCCGGTGTCGGGGCGGTCCCGAAAACAGCAATCTGATTGGTTTAATCGATGAATCAACGGGGGTTTCGAGAACGTTTTGCCACGGTCCCCACCACTGGCCCAACTATGACTTGATCGATCCCAGTTGCGGCGTGGCTTCTCCAGTCAATGGAGTTTGTGCGGACCTTTGTATTACATATGTATAACGGATGTACTCTATACCGGTCCGACTCGCGTGATAAGTACATATGTACTGATCTGTGGGTACCTGTCTATCCTGCAGGAACAAGATATACAAAAGATCTGTAGTATCAAAGTACAGATACTACAGATACTACAAATATCACAGATACTGAAAGCTAAAGATTCCAGCCCTCAAACATGATAACAAATCGCGCCATTGTTATTTGGTGATAGCTCCGTGGATATCAGAAACCGCGGAATAATTAGCCGTTCGCGTTGTACAGTATCGCTGTTCTCGCGACGCGCGCGTGATAAAAAGATATAATTAATATATTACAATTTAGCGGGTAAAAGAAATAAGGGTTCTAGAATTTACATTGGTTTTTTTCTTTCTTTCTGATCTCGAATTACCTTCCCTATGTTATATGCACTTGCGGCATTTGCAGCTGATATGCGCTCGGCCTAGAGGTCCTGGCGCCAGTTGCTAAGAAGTGTGACCATATCACCGAGAGTATCCCGGGTTGACGGATAATTACATTTGACGTTGGGGAATCTGTGTTATCTCATGAATCTTCGGATAAGATGTGGAGGAGCTATATTTCGGCGAGAACACCGGATAGGAACACCAGATCTGGGCAAGGCCATGCGCTATATTCGGCTACATCTAACACATCCCCCTGTCAGCCATATACTTTAGTGCCTATATATCTTATCGGTCCAACGGGAGATGAAGGATTGACCATCTTATTGAATTTCATTGAGTTTTATTACAAGGTCAGACCGCCGATTGGGTGCTAGTTAGGGTTATCGCCAGTCAGCAGACACCAGAGATTTGAGTGGTTCGGGTGGCGGGAGCGGTTTTGTAGAACAGCTCGTTTTATGCGGAGGTGAAAGTCTGGAGAAGAGCTACCTACTACATTGTACGGAATACGCAGAAAACGGTAGAGCTAGTCGCATCTAGATTCAAATGTTAACAAATCAAACTGGTATAAGAGTCGATCCCTCGGCGGGGACCGGCGAAAGGCATCTGGATGATGCGAGTATGATGACACGGAGGTAAAAGAGTGGCGTTGAACTCGGTAGAAGTTGAAACTTCCAAAATTTCACAGGCTATGGCGTTTTCCTCGGCTGTGAAAGAAAGTAAAATAAAATAAAAAAAAAGGGTGCTTTTGACATATTAGTTAGTATAATAAAATGTTTACGATGTTGAGGCATTAAAAATGTTATATTGAAGGAAAGATTTACTACAAAGTACAAAAAAGTACTAAAATAGAGTGAGGGCTTTTTTTGCTTTTCCTACTGGTTTCGGTTTCAGGAGAAGAATTGCCGACTCGCACAATACTGATGTACCTCCTATAGTATGAGGTACTTTATCGGTACCCTGTATTGGGCCGGAAGCTTTACAATTGATTACAGTTACAATACAACGCTTAACCTATTTAGGGGAGTGGCTGAGCCGCGCCTTCCTATTTTTCCCAAAAAAAATTCAAAAAATCAAAAAAAAATCAAAAATCCCAAAAAAGAAAGTCAGTGACTAAATTTAAATTCTTTTTTTTTTTTCAAAAGGTTATCATCCCTCCCTTGCCCCTCCACATCTTTAAAACTCATTCTCTCCTCCTTTGGATTTTCTCATTCATATTCTATTTGCTATCACATTTCGTGTTTTCCTTCGGGATTTCTCTACCAAAAAGTCATTGCTTGATTGCATCGAAACCCGGTTTTAAACCAACAACACACATACCCATATTCATTATGGTATGAGTCAATCTCTTTTTGTGTGTGTGGAATAGAATCTGACCTCTTTTTCTCTACAGGCTTCTGAATCTGCAACTGTCGTCTCCAACACGGGGAATGTGCGTTTGATTCTTTGATTTGGATTTCCACAATGGCCTTCGAGCCAGTGGGGAATGACATATACTGACTTGACATGGGAAACAGCTCATGAAGTACATGAACCTCGACCAGCGTGGTGCCGTTATGGCCGAATACGTCTGGATTGATTCCAACGGTGGCACTCGCTCTAAGACAAAGGTATGACTCATCTCAATCTGATTTTTTCCCTCCCCAGGCTCTTATCTCCTGGGACTAAACACGAATACTGGGGATTGGTGGTTGCTGCATGTTCTTATCTGGAATCTCCTCTCGGGCCTCGATAAGCCCTGTGCACGGGGATTCCTGATTAGCATAAGACGCAGCCACCCGCCGTCACGTGAGATAGCGCTCTTTTGGAACAACTCACTAACTTGAATCGCTCGCACAGACTCTGTTCAAGCCCGTCACAAGTGTTGATGAGCTTCCTGAATGGAACTTCGACGGTTCCTCCACCAACCAAGCCCCCGGTGACAACTCCGATGTCTACCTTCGCCCCGTCGCTTACTACCCCGATCCCTTCCGTCAAGGTGACAACATCCTTGTCCTTTGCGAGACCTGGGATGCCGATGGAAGCCCCAACAAGTTCAACTACCGTCACGAAGCCAACCGTCTGATGGAGACCAACGCCAACGAGGGCTTCTGGTTCGGTCTGGAGCAGGAGTACACTCTCCTCGGCACTGATGGTTGGCCATACGGCTGGCCCCGTGGCGGTTTCCCCGGTGCCCAGGGTCCTTACTACTGCGGTGTCGGTACCGGCAAGGTCTACTGCCGTGATATCGTCGAGGCTCACTACCGTGCCTGCCTGTACGCCGGTATCAACATCTCCGGAATCAACGCTGAGGTCATGCCTTCCCAGTGGGAGTACCAGGTCGGCCCCTGCCCCGGTATCGATAGTAAGTTCTTTTTAAATCACCCAAAAATTTCGAATATTTTGAGACTAACTGTTTTTCAGTGGGTGATCAGCTCTGGATGTCCCGTTTCCTGCTCCACCGTGTCGCTGAAGAGTTCGGCGTCCGCATCTCTTTCGAGCCCAAGCCCATCAAGGGTGAGTGGAACGGTGCCGGTCTTCACTCCAACGTTTCCACCAACGCCACTCGTGCCGAAGGTGGTATGAAGGTTATTGAGGCCACCATGAAGAAGTTCGAGGCCCGCCACGTTGAGCACATCGCCGTCTACGGTGAGGGCAACGAGGAGCGTCTCACTGGTCGCCACGAGACCGGTAGCATCGATAAGTTCTCTTACGGTGTTGCCGACCGTGGTGGCTCCATCCGTATTCCCCGCCAGTGCGCTAAGGACGGCAAGGGTTACTTCGAGGATCGTCGCCCCGCCTCCAACGCTGACCCCTACCAGATCACTGGAATCATCGTTGAGACTATGTGTGGTGGCCTCTAAATGGATAGGAATCATTTGGTCTTAGCGCTCCGATACCCTCGGCGTCAACCTGGGAGTCGGACCAGAGCGGCCTGACTGCCTGAGGGAGTCCCCATAGAAGTTCTGTGGTCTGCCTTTTTCTCTCTTCCTCTTCCTGTCTTTCTTCTCCTGTTCTATCCTTTTCATGCTCCCGGTTTCAGTGTCCGCCTATTGCGTTCCTGCTGGCCCTCCCTCGTTGTACCAGCCGCACTACTTTTTTTTTTTTTTCGTTCTTCTCTTGACTACCCTTTGTTGGGTAATGTGATACGTACTATAGCATAGAATATTCATGGATGGGAAAACCACACCATCGTTTATCGAGAGATATCATTCTGATATCGTTCCTCTGGAGAATCGACAATTAATACCAAGTTTAACTTCTGCACTGACATTCATCTTGAAGTAATTTTTGTGTCTGAAGCAATACCTACATTGGTTGACAAGCATTGAGCTCTTGTACTTTTTTTCTATGGTAGTCAATTTAGTCTCATTGGTCTTATCTAGATCGGGGTATCTCGCCAGATCGTTCCCGTGAAACAAGGATCTGAACTCAATCTAGTATCACGTTCCAGAACCCAATGGAAGACTTTCTTTCTTTTACAGAATGTGTAGTGCGTCATAGTATAAATAGTCGAACACGATCAACCTCAAAAAGAAGCATATTAGCACACTTCAGTTCATTCAGTTGTTAGTTTCACCTTATGAAACAGAATATTCTCCAAAAGCCATCCATGCCCGAAATTGAAATTAGATCGTATTCTCCTTTCTATAGTGTCCCTTGTATCATTCTATAGAAGTCCAACACAGCAACGTAGCCAAAATTAAAGAAATATAACAACACTTCTACCGCTTCACCACGACCACACACACCTCACACCGACACAAGTCTACACACCCATCAATCACCTCCCCAACCTCAACTTCCGCCTAAACCCAGCCCCAAGCCCATGCAACCCCCTCTGCCTGACCTCCCGTCTAGCAGCCCCATCAACCGCCTCATCCTCACCACCCGAATACCGCCCATCAACAAACCGCAACATAAGCTGCATAAACGCCGCAGCGAGAATACTCCCCCCCAGAATACCGATCATGACAAGGTTACTCTTTCTGTACTTCGCGCGGCCAGGCGCCTCGTAGTCACTCTTCCATCCGGAATACAGCGCATACGTCGTGAGGATACTGCCCAGATTACCGAGGCCGGAGACGACGGCTGATGCGGCGGCTACGCCTAGCTCGCCGTGGCGTGGCTGGAAGATCTCTGTCGTCCAAGTCATTGTTATCGGGACTGTGGGGCCGAGTCCGAAGCCCACGATCAGGAGGCCGCCGTAGCGTGGCCACGGGTTGGTGTCTGTGCCCGCGTAAGTTGTTAGGAGGAGGCCGAGGATTTGGAGCAGGACGGGGATTGAGAAGAAGATTGCGCGGTGGCGGTGGAAGCGGTCTGAGAGGGGGGTTACAAGGAGGATGGCGATTAGGTCCATCTGAGGGGTTGTTAGTGGATGGATATTGAATGGAAATAGAGCCAGAAAAGGAAGAAAAGGAAGGAAAACTTACAATCCAAATCGGAGCCGTCAACAAACTCAGCTCAACACCACTCAAAGTCGGATCAATAGCCTTGATAATCAAGTTCGCATACAGCTGCACTCCAATACCAACACCCACAACACCAAAGTACATAATGAGCAGCGGATACAATCTCCAATCCAAAAACACCGCGAGCAGATCCCGCAGCGTCCACGCAGACGAGTGATAGACGCGCTTGAGATCATGATAATGCACAACGGCATCTTGGCCCTTCAGCGCGGGTTTGGTGGCAGGCACCCAGCGCATCAGTGATGAGCGCTCGGGGGCAGGCTCGCCGGGCGGCGTGGGTCTATCTGGTAACCACCATAGCAAGGCGAAGCCCAGAGCGACCGTGACGACGCCGTAGATTAGGAACATCCATTGGAAGCCGACGAGGCCGTGGGAGCCGTCCATTTTTTGGAACCCGGCGGAGACGAGGCCGACTACGGCGGCGGAGACTTGAGAGGCTGTGAAGTACTGCCCGATTCGTTTGCCGATTCGTGAGGGCGGGTAGAATAGGGTTAGGTAGTATGTCATGCCGGGCCACATGCCTGCTGTGACGATGCCGAGGAGGAGGCGGAGGAGGCTGGGGTTTGTTAGATACAGGATAAAAGATATAAGATATGGTATATGACGTATGGGATGTATAATGGGGAGGGTTTGGGTGAGGGGTTGCATACTAGAAACTCCAAGCTGCCTTCATTGCTGCAAGACAGCTTCCGATTAAGCCTACGCTGACCACAATACGGCTCATCCAGACGTGCGGGCTTAGACGGGTCATGATTAGGTTCGAGGGGAGATCGAAGATCACGTAGCAGACGTAGAACAGGGCAAGACCTGTTGAGATCTGGTGCGGAGTTAAGTTGAGCACGCTGGCTAGGTCGTGGCCGACGTCTGCGTTCATTGTCTGTGCTAGACCTACGTTCGACCGGATGGCTGAACAGAGGAAGTAGAGGACCCAGAATGCAGAGATGATGCGACGGTCCAGTTTTCTATGATTGGATGTTAGATTCTGATATTGAATAGTGCATTGTTTCTTGGAGATGCGACCCAGAGATGTAATTTACCTGTAGATCCGTTCGATGTTGGCCACGCTGTGGTCTGCGGACTCGGCCTCGACCTCGTCTGAGGATGTCTGACTCTGTGGCGCCTCTGGCTGCTCGGTGATCTCAGCAGAGACAGGCTGCTTGTCAACACTGACAGAGGCATGTTGATGTTCGGACATCTTGTTATTATTATATGTGTATAGATCTTTTTATTTGGCTTCTTTGCGGGTAAGCAGTCAATTGACTGTACCAAAGCGCTGGCGAAAAGCAGTGCCAATTGAGATCTGTCGATCTGGGTTAGTGGAGTTCATGTATATTTCGATTTTCTTCAACGCGAAATTCTTTGCTGAGGTCCTGGAGAGATGTTAACATACCTTGATCTGTCTTACTCTGTCTCCAGAAAAAGAAGAAGATTCCGTTTTCGGATCTGATAAAGAGAGGGGTGGATCTTGGCGGAGAAAAACACTGAAACACTAAAGTCCCCGATGTATAGGGAAGTTTTATAGTCTTATACACTGAGTTGCGTGACTCATACAAATATTCGTGAGTAAACTCCAAATTCCCTGTTGAGGTTGAGATTAAGATTCAGGAGGTTGAGCGAAAATCTTTCGGTCTTTTTTCCCCCAACGAGCTCTTCACCGAGGATAACCTTAATATAAATTTTTTTCCCGAGGCTATCCTTGCCTTTTATGGATCTCCGTAAGTTGTAGATGATGTACTTTTGTATTTACATAATTCTGTTGAGTATCTGCTATGGTCCCTTGCAGGGCTGATAGCTGTCAGAAGCTGTCAGAATGCTATACACATACTCCATACCATTGGGGCATGTCCAACAGTCGAAATACCGTGCCAAGCAATGAGTCAGAACTACTATTAGAATTGTATTCTTGCAATTCAAATTCTTAGCTTCGAATTTAATTTATCTCTTTTATGTATTCTCATTAGCATCATTATCTTGATTGCCGGTCTCGGGATTATCACGTGGCCTATCAGATATTCCCAATCGGGTATTTTAGGGCTCGATGTATACAGGTCAAAAGATGGAAATTTCACCGGCTTATTGTAAGTTACGAATGGAAGGCAATTGTTTAGCAATACTGATATGCGCAAGAGATAGAGCCGGGTATCTTTTGTAGTGATAGCTAACAATGTGCTATACCGGAGTGTATATGTCTATAGAACACGATGTCTAAGGCTACGAATTGAATATCTGGTATTTTAAGGCAAAAAGCGGAAGGCATGCAAAAAGGAAGGCATCGATGTTGCTTACTGGTAGCTGTCAAATTGATCCAACAAAGCAAATAGCCTATTGATATCCGTTTGATCTGTCGTCTCCTACAAACGCGGGTCCAAAGGTCTCGAGCTTAGAGGGCTGATTATTTACCAACCTTTCATCTTGTCTCCTTCTATCTTTTTAACTAGAATCATCACGTCCTCTATATTGACACGTACGTTCATATTCACCTTTCTGCGTGTCCACCTGTTTTCTTTAAACGGTCGTTGCCTCTTGATCTGTACTATTTAATCTTTCATCATCCATCATATCCGTGAATTATCCCCAGGTATTTCTCATCACTCCATCCATCTTGCTCCCTGCAGCTATCCAAATTCCGGTGCCCGACGCCGCTCATATTGCTGTATTAAGCACTCCCACGGTGACCACGTCAACCGTGACTATCATCTAACATAACGCCACTTTCATCCTTTATTCATCCACAATGTCTTCAAACACCGCGGGAGTTGCGGCTGATGCTGAAGCCGAGAAGTCTTGTGTCATTTGCTCGATCCGCCCTGGTGGCGGATCGCGCGAAGACATTTCGACCGTTCCGCGAACCCACAGACATTTCAGCTTTTCATCTCTCCACCCTACTGCCAGCACGCACGAAGGAACCGTGGCTAATTCCCAATTTGATAGGCTTTCCGGCCTCTCATACACCTCGCCGCGTGAAGCAATCATGACCGGTCCGGAAACTGATATGCATTCCGGCCTCTCATCCGTCTACCCGCGCGAAACAACCATGACCGGTGCCGAGACTGATAGGCATTCCGGCCTCTCACCCATCCGCCCTAATGATGGCCCACACACAGAGCTCTCGGTCTGGTTTTCCCACAACTCAAAAGAAGATACCGAGTCCTACAAGCCTGCGGAAGCAAGATTCGCCGTGCAAGCTCCCGAGGGACAAGACCAGTTGAACCTAGCTAGATACTTTAATCGGGATCGCAGCCAAGTCAATGGAAGTGGAACCAGCACTACCGGCAAGAGGTACTACTTGAAGCACTTGAAAGTTCCGCCAAATCCCCCGAACAGAGACAGTACTGACATGAACCCCAAGAACGAAACAAGAATTGACTTGATGGACAAGAGAAACTTCAAGACTCCTGTCAAGTATCCATACACTGATCAGAATACCAAGGAGACAGCAGCGCAAACCCCCGAGGGGCAGGACAAGTCGAGCCTGACCCAATATTTTAACATGGATCACGGTCAAGTCGGTGGAAGTGGAATGGCCCCTACCCGCAAAAGGTTCTATTTGAAGCATTTGACAGTTCCTCCAAATTCCCCAAACAGAAACGACGATGAGAAAACTCCCTTCGGACAACAAAGAATTGATTTCATGGACGACAGAAACTTCAAGCCCGCTGTCAAGTGTCCGTACATCGATCAAGACACCAAGGTGCTAGCCACGCAAACTCCCGAAAAGCAAGGCGAGTCGAGCCCGGCTAAATATCCCAGCATGCATGACAATCAAGTCTGTGGAAGTGGAAAGAGCACTGCCCCCAAAAGGTACTATTTGAAGCATTTGACGGTTCCTCCCAATTCCCCAAACAGAGACAGCGATGAGACGACATCCATGACCAGACCAAGAATCGATTTGATGGACAAGAGAAATTTCAAGGTTCCGGTCGAGTATCCGTACACTGATCGAACGACCAACAAAATACGCAGGATGAGTGTCAATTCGGATTCCACGGTCACTAACGAGAATATCAATCACCGGGCCATGCATCGAAGCTCCAATTATTCGTCCCTTCGAGCCTACATTGTGAATTCCTTTTTGAACAAGTCCAATGCGCCGGACTCTGATGGCTCGGGCTCTGAAACCGAGAAGGAAGATTCTGCTGCTAAGGGAGCTGGAGCTCAGAAGACAAAGGAGGCTGCCAATGGACGTGCTTTTGTGCAGAGAAGAGAGGAGAACGTCAACGACCAGCAGTAGCTAGTCATCCAGAGCGATCTGCCATGCAGGGGATCTTGTGTTTTCCAATACGGTGGAAATACGGTCGTAAACCGTACTAGTTAGTGATGTTGCAGGTCAACAAGCATTTTTATTCGATTCTACCATCGTTATTAGCATTTACTGCGTATGCTGCTAATAACGATGTTACTTTCTAATACGTATTCGTCGTTTTCACGTCGTAGAAAGAAGAAGTCATACCTGAAGATATCGATTCTTCTATGTGCGAGAGGGTCTGGAATCCTCCTACCATGACTTCCTTGAGATTATATTCACCTCCTTCTCACAAGTGAGAGGAAAAAGGACAAAAGTGACAAAAAAACCAGAAAACCAGAAAACAATTGCTCTGTCAAATACAAGTCGGAACCCCAAGATCGAAACGGCAGAGACTGGCAGGTCCAAAAATGGGTCGATGCACGATTTACTAGTATAGGAGATCGCCCGAGTGCCCACTATGGTTGGCCTAGGTGCAAATTGATTCGCTACAGAGCCTGATAGTGTAGTCCAATGCCACTTTGTTTCTATTTTTCATACCTATGTAGGCATGTAGATACATAAGTAGAAAAGGAAGGGCTCCTCAGGAGGTTCTTTCCAGCGAAACATGTGCTTCTCTTCACAACGTCGACCCTTTCCAATAACAGAGCTCGGACTGTATAACGAAAATGGGCTTCCCGTAACTAAACAAATTAATTCAATTTGCCAGCCTCACTCTCAACAAAGAGCCTAACTGAATAGAACGCTATCACGAGGGTCTCTAAGCCCTAAAGCCAAGAACACCATCAGACCCTTCACGTCAACCTTATTAACAAGAAAACAGCCTAGCATCAATGCCCAAGTGTCTAGCGCGATCCCAACTTTCCTCTTCTTGGTATGATCCAGCGAGCACCCCGTATATGAAGCCAAAAAAGACGGCTCGAGTCGGCGCCAAGCGGCACCACCTCGTATCGCACTAACCGTCACAGGCAATATCTCCCCCCAAATTTCCGCGAATACGAACAACAACCTTAAACAACTAGTCTTGGCGGGTATTTACCTTCTACTCAGCCGCATAGATATGGGGCTTATCCAGGGGATAGGGACTTAAAATCACACCAAATCCCACAGCGGATGGCACGAGCAGAGCAGGGTGGAGTTCCATTCAAACCCACAAGCTATACTCTATATAAGCTCTATACCTCTCTATATCTCTCTATACAGAGTCCCTCCAAACATATCCAAAATGCTCCCCCAAATCCCCACCAACACCTTCACAACCCTATCCCTCCTCCTCGCAACCCTAGCAACAAGCACAACAATCCCCGAATACGAGCCCCAAATCCTCTCCAACATCACCATCTCCCTCCTCAACCCGGACGACGGCTTCACCCTCGCTGATAACTCAAGTCTAAACGCGCGCGCCCTGGAATGCAGCATCGGGTACACCGCATGCGCCTACGACTCCAGCCGCTGCTGTCTGGCCGGCCAGAAGTGCTGCGGGAACGGGTACTGCGCGAGGATAGGCGCGGCGTGTTGCGTAGGCGGCGGGACGTGTCCGGTTGGATACAAGTGCTGTGATGGGTCGAATGGGTGTGCGCCTTGGGGCGGGGAATGCTGTTCTGGGGGTTACTATTGTCCGATTGGGAAGAGATGTCGCATATATAAGGGGGAGAAGGTTTGTTGTGGTGTAACTGGGTGTGCTGGGGAGTATGATGGGATTGGGTCTGGGGGTACGGTTGGGGATGTTACGTCGTCGTCGTCGACGACGACGACGACGACGGAGATTGAGACCGAAATTGAGACGGCGACAACGACGGCTTTGCCTTATGTTACGCTTGAGTGGGACTATTATTATACTACCATCTACTGGTATGCTTTTTGGGATGATTGGATTTTGGGTTGGATGGGTTTGCTGATTGTTTATAGGACTTACTGGTTCTACTACTGGACTTCTTATTCCCCCTACACTGTTAGGACGGTTACTTCTACCATCACGAGTACCAGATCTATCTGGTCTGTTTATGCGACAAACAGCGCCGTAGCAACGTCTGCGCTCAGCGAAAGATCTTCTAGTTACTCTTTCCGCGCTCCTTACTCGGCGACTTCTCTTGAAAGCTCGACGGAGCCTGTCACTCTGTTCACGGAACCGACTGCCACTGCTCGGGCTGCTGGTTCGTCAGATGCCACAGATGAGGCGACTGGATCGGATACAGTCACTGAAGGGACTAGATTGGATTCAGCCACTGGTGCTGCGGTGAGCATGGGAGTTAGTGGGACTGGCATCATGGCTGCTGTCTTGATTGCTGCGGTTGGTGGGTTAGCCTTTTGGCTGTGAGCAGCTGGGGCAGGTTGTGATTTGGGGTGATTTTAGTTAACTGGATTTTGAATTCTGTATTTTGTTGTTGATACCTCTCTGACCTACACGGTGTTTCTATAATATGCAATACTTAATTAATATATGCCATAATTCATGAAATATCCATCCAGTTCCGGGGATAGATATCGAGCCCTTAATTGACACCAGGAAAATGTCTAATTGAAATAAAATAAGGATTTGCCTTCTCGAAGGGCCTAATCAAGTACTGTCAGACGAGCTGTTTTTGCGGTGCTCAATATGGGTACCCTTTCCAGTCTCAATATCGTTCGTCTCATTGGCCATCTTGGTCTTCTTCTCTGAAACATAGCTAGCGCGGCGCAGGTGCTCCTCGGTATCCTCGTAGTTGATGAGAATCTCGCCCTTCTTACCGTAGCGGTGGGGCTCGTTGCGGGCAACCGAGACGACATTGAAGACGCTGGTTGACTTATGGAAGATTGTGTCCATCTCCTCCAGGGATCGATAGGCAGTTTCAGGGTAGAAGAAGTAGACGACGGGGAAGATGAACGCATTGCTATTGGGAACTGAGTTAGTAGTGCGCTCAATCCATTTTGCGCAGAATATACTCACATGACAGCAAAGATAATATATGTCTTATACTTGATCGTGTCGAATGCAACAGGCGTGACCATAACAACCATGAAGTTGAAGATCCAGTTGCCCGAGGTTGCGAGTGCGTTGGCGGGAGCACGGATTCGTAGAGGCACCTATTGCATTGTCAGTGGTGTTTTGGTGCAAAATAATAAAAAACATAAAAGCCTTACAATCTCAGCAGGATATAGCCAGGTCATTCCAAGCCAGCCAAAGGCAAAGAATGTGTTAAAGACAAACAAGAACACGGCAGCGGTAATACCAGGCTTACTCTGGTGGCCCTCAAAGCTAGTGGTAATAGCCAAAACGGCCATTGAAATCGACATGCCAGCGGCACCGATCAACATCAGAACTCGTCGGCCCACCTTCTCAATAATGAAAATCGGGATCAAAGATGCCAAGAAATATTCAGTGCCATTGCAGGCAGCTAGAATTCGCGATGTCAGACCATCCATACCAAGAGTGTTCTCATAAATGAAAGCAGCATAGTAGGTGATCAGGTTGATACCAGAGATCTGCTGGAACATCTGGTTTACATAGGCAAGTACAACACGGTGGAAGTGGCGGTTCTCATCCATAGTGAGCAAGTCACGGAAGCTGACACTCGAGGCAGCCAGGACTGCATCCTTAATAGCGGCGAATTCCGAGTGGACGTAGGGATCGTTCTCATCCAAGTCTAGGATCGCGGCGAGGACATCCAGAGCTTCCTGTTCGCGGCCCTTGAGGATCAGCCAACGAGGTGATTCGGGTAGTGGTAGGACGAAGGCTAAGATGATCAGTGCGAAGACGTTTTGGAAGGCAATTGGGAAACGCCATGCGACGGAGCTAGGGTCGAGGAAGGAGAATCCAAGATCAAGCCAGTAACTGATTGTAATTCCGGCAGCAATCAGGGAGCCCTCTAGCATGACGAGTTTTCCGCGGTGGTGGGACTTGGAGCATTCTAAGTAATATTAGCATCCTGCCTCATCTTTAATAGAGCCAAGCACTTACCAGATTGCCATGTAGGGACGGTAGAGGTGTTCATGCCGTTGCCGATACCAGTGACAATACGGCCGACGATGAGATGCGGCAGCGAGTAGGCACAGGATTGTAGGGTAGCCCCAATCACCATGATGATGGAGCCGGTGAAGATCGTCTTACGACGACCAAGGTAGTTTCCAATCCAAATACAGAAGATTGCGCCGAAGAAACAGCCCAAGTTATAGGAAGCGATGGTGATTCCTGATAAATTAGTATGTGAATGAATAGAATGTCCCCATGGTAGTTACATACCCTGTGTAGTCGAGTTGCTACTCGCCCGTGGATTCGATTTAGTAGTGTCAATTTCTGGGAAGACCGTCACGAATGAATTTAATGTCAATAGACCTCCCATAACACCTCTGTTGAGTGTCAGCAAAAGGAACACCTCAGACTGATGTATAGCTTGCGATAACATACTGGTCATATCCGAATAACCTGTGCAATCCCATATTAGTGCTGCGTACTCTTAAGTAGATATTGAAGGAGCAACATACAAGAAATCAAGACCGGCAATAACACCGATCATGATATTCAGGTTTGTACCCCGAAGACCGAAATATGGCTTCATGGTGGCGGATAGGGTGTATAGATTTCAGATTGTAGGAGCACAGGCTGTAAATATCCAAGCCCTATAAACAAACAAAGATAGTCTCTCCTATTCGCGGGACTAGAAAATAAACTTGAAATAGATAGACTGCAGGAGAGAAAAGAAAATCCAACGAAACAACCAGGTCTGGGGAAGTCAACCAGACTTATGAACCTTACGAACCCCAGAATCAAACAAGGAGGGTATCCATATGCAGCATCGAATTCTGGGGCGCAAATTGTACTCCAAAACTAAGGCACAACCCGCCAATGAGAAACAGTAACAAGGTCGCATTGGTGATGTCTACAAGGTATACCATGGCCCGATTAGGGGGAACGAGCCACTGTACCCTGTCTTCACGGCTGAGACAAGACTTTGGGGCGATCATCGGTATCCCAGGGATCCGGGCAAATCGGCGCAGAGGTGCAGTTGGGCCATGCGAGGGGCGATCGCATAGCCAAGTCGGTCTCTGTCCGGTATTGGGGTATGGGTTTACGGGTAATATTCACGATGGCATCAAGTCGAAAGTGCTCGTGTGTCTCACCGGGTACTTTCTCAGGACTGTTTCCGTCAATGATGTGGAGTGTATGACAGCTGCATGGTACACATAGAATCTCGCGTGGTTCAGGTACTTTTGTCGCGTTGCCATTGAATTGGAAGTATTTGGAATACGAAAACCTGGAGAATTCTGTGTCTCCAGATTCCCCCGGACTTCCCAATTGTTCTGCCGATCTTCGCTGAAAGAGATTATCCGTGGACAACATTCTCAGACTACGCTTTTCATGTTGAGTTGTATGAGATTTTTATATATATTCTTCACCGTTGACTCGCCAAGAGTACTTGGCAGGGATATAAGGGGTTCGATGAATCTAAGCCGTCCCGAGGCTTCAGGGCCCGAAAACCCTGGCCGGCTGTAGCCGACTGGTGACATCATCGGTATCTCCAAAACAGGCTTGTAAATAGTACGTATGTACTCCGTAGTAGAGTAATAGAAGAGTAAATAGAGTAGTAAATAGAGTAATTTGGAATTCTCCTATCATATACCCTAACTTATTTCTTGTGCACGAGGACAGTTATAGACCGAATCACGGGGTTCCCGGGGTACGGGATGCCTAATTCGGATATGATACATCACATAAGTTTGCATTTGCATGCCAATGCAGGCAATCGCTTTAAATGTCAAGTTAAGTACGGACATGGAATATATGCGGCTCAACGCCCCCGTAAACTGAGTGGCAATGATACTGAAACTATTAATGCAATATTTTCAAATGACACCCAGTTACAGTTATAAATCAATTCCAAAAGGTGGGCTTCCAATGAAGTGTCGAGTTCAAGTAGAGCCAGTTAGGGCACCGGATTCCCGGATTCGGCCAGTACATCAGCCCGGTAATGGCATGGTAAATACATCCCAGTGCCTTGACCATATTAGTGACGAATCGATGGTCAATGATCGACAATGTGGGAGTGCTTGGTTTGATGACATCGGATGTCATACGCTAAGCCTTCAAGTTGTAAAGCGGCTTACTAGAGCCGACAGGAAATATCTATGGATCAAGAGGAAGTGTACTCTTTTAGAGTTCTGAGCATCCTCCACCTATTCTATAATACAACTACCTAGCTAGCATTCGAATATATATGTTACCCCAGTCTACAGTCAAAAGAATTAACTAAATGGATGTTTCATTGAATTTGCCAGCCAGATAACAATGAACGTCAGAAACGCCCCCAGATCAGAGCCCTCCTGCCCAGACCCTCCATCCTCAAGCCCATCCAGAGGCGCACGTCGAAATGAACTTGACCTCAACAGAGAGCATCAGAGTTCTTAACAGATATCCTCCTTTCGAGACCATCGGCCGGTCAGCAATCACCGTAAAACCCCCGGGTAAAATCTCTGGCTAACATAGAACACATCGCAAGATTTGAAAAAGACTAAGACGTGGAAGCAAGGATAGACCCCACATGTAACATCAGGCTCTTGTCCATCCTGGGCCACCGTGAGGCATCCCAAGAACAGTCAACACCCGAAAATTTTCACATAGGGCCGATCATAACAGGGGAGAAAGGGAAGCCAAATTGCTGTTGCTCTTGGAGTTCCCCAGTCGCCTGTTTTTGTCCTCGAATCGTAGTATTTACCACTGATCCTCGTCGTCATGGCGCTTGAACTGGAACTGTTCCTCACTAGTCTCCGGGCCCAGCAGATCAGGTTCCTCGCGCTTAGCAGAGCGGGGGTAGAAATCGGGTTCGTCCTGAGGCTCCTCTGCCTTGGGCTGACGGCAACGGACCACGGTGTGGCCCACTAAAGTATGATTAGCGGCCTAACTCAAGTAGTAGGAACGCGTATATGATCAACTTACTTTCTCCACAGTTCTTGCACTGAACCTTAGACCAATCTTTCGGCTGATCACAATCACGAGAGTAGTGTCCGGCTAAAAAAGTAGTTGTCAGTTCTGTTTTGTAGTACATAATGGCCAACATAAATAGAGAATATTCAGAGTGTGCATCACACTTACTCTTCTCGCAGTTACGGCAGGTGACGGTGGAAAGATTACGAGGTTGGTCACAGTCGCGAGCGATGTGGTCTTCGGATCTGCATTTATGTCAGAGTCGGCCACAATCTTAGGGCTCCGATTGTGATATTTGGACATACCCACAATTGCGGCAAGTGCGAGGGCCGCGATCAGCAACATTGGGGCAATCCTTGGCAAAGTGGCCAGCTGAAACAAATATGTTAGCATCATGAAATATATGAATCATCTTGATCGAGGTTTTGTCATACTTTCGTTGCACTTCCGGCATTCAACATCAGCGGCAGATCGGGGCTCGGGGCAATCATTAGCAATGTGCTCGAAAGATCTTCATAAAAATCAGCATTATCCAGCTCGTGATTTGCCCAACAGTCACATACCCGCAGTTACGGCAAGTATGCTTGTTCCTGCGCTGGCGTCTGCAATCGCGCACGCGGTGTCCAACCCCATCACAGTTTGAGCACCTGATTCCCACACGCTCGTTGCTCTCGGAGCGCTCCTGCTTGCAACTACGCGAGATATGTCCCAACTCTAAACGTAATGGGTTAGCCACATTCCGAGGAATTTGAAATTACAATACCTACCCCCACAGTTCAGACACTTAGGCACCTTGCGCTCATAAGGAACACCAGCGTTGTTCATGCGTTCGAGATTCTCCTCGGCATTCGCAGGCCAACGGTCTCGGAGGTTGCCACGCGCCGGCTTGGGGCTAAAAAAGAATCCAATCACGAAATCACGATCAAGCACTCCCTGAAGATCGATAAGGCTCACGACATCGTCGACCTCAGCGTCCTGTAGTTAAAATCCATTCATCAGTAATTCATTCCTGAAAATCAAAACGACAATAATCGATTACCATAGCAATAATGTAGACGTTGAACTCATCCTCCCGCATCTTCTCCTCGATATCAGCCCAGGTGGCGTGGGGAACTGCCTTGGAGTAAATTTTGAGTGCCTTGAGTCAGGTCAGCCAATGCTCAAGACTTTCAACGTATGGACTCCTGGTACCTCGCGAAAATCATCAAGATCCCTTTCGTCACTGGCTTTCTTCATTGCAGCCCAACCTTCGTGGGGAAGCATGTCGGCAACAAGGTTGAGGTCGAACTTGCGATTCTCCTTACATTCCATCGTCTTGTGGCCTTGGATCTGGCAGTTCTTGCAAACATCAGGGGGTCTCTCGGGACAGTCAACAGCTGGGTGGCCTTCCTTTTCGCAGATACGGCAGGTACCCTTGAACACGCGGGGCTTAGAGCATTCAGCCTTGGAATGACTGTTTCAAAAGAGCAATTAGTCCCGTGACACACAAAATGTTCAACAACCACTCACCCTTCTTCGCCACAGTTGAAGCATGGGCCCATCTTGCGAGGCTCGGTGCATTCGGCCTTAGAATGGCTGTTTCAAGAGAACAATTAACGCCGTAAGACCCAATATGTTCAACAATGACTCACCCTTCCTGGCCACAGTTGAAGCAAGCGTGGTCACCACCACCAGCATGTTCACCATTGCCTCCGCCATTGCCACGGTCGTTGTAGTTGCCATAGGCATTGCTATGTGTCAGCATTAATTAGATGAGCCGGTACAACATCACATGGAAAATGCTAGAACAACTTACCCTGCATTGCTATTTCTAGCTCTCAGAGGAACCGAGTCATTCGGGCACTGGCGAGTCATATGGCCAGGTTCACCACATCTTAAGTTTGTGAGTGACTGGACTTCTTGGGGAAATTTCCCGAACCATGAAAGCTAGAATCTGCGAGGGGAGAACTTACTGTCCGCAGGTGAAATCATCGTTCCGGGTTCTATGAATATTGGTCTCCATTGTGACCAACTTAATAAATATGCCCGTCAGTCAAATACATCCAAACAGCCTTGCTGTGAAAGAGTCCCTCCACCTGGGTAAAGGATGGAAGCGCGATAGGTAAAAGATGATTGGGTGGGAGGGGGATGGAGGTATGAGACAGGATCACCTAGGAGAATCGAAACACGATCTTTTCACGTGGGTCACTCTCCCAAGGCCTATTATCGGGAGACGAGGTGCAAGGTCAACGCAAAAAACGACACTTACCAGCGTGTTTTCGATGCGTAGTGGACGCGCGGTCTGGTTGTTGATGAAGATTGAGGAGGGAGAAGAGGGGAGAAGAAGAGGAAGAGGGAAGAGGAGGAAAAGGTTAAACAAAAGATAATCAGTAGGTGACGCTCAGGGAAACTGCCTGCTTGAGGAAGGAGCGATGTGTCGACCTGCCTCAGGCAATTGCCTGGTCTTCAAAGCAACTTACACTCCAGGGCTAGACTGGGTGCTTAGTCAAATTAGAGCTACCTACAGATGATATTCCGTATTTGGGAAAGAAATCGCATGCATTTGAATGGTAATTGGTTGAATATTCTGTTAGAAATACAGAGCACATGCAAAAAAAATACTGACGGTATAGGGCCACTACCGGCAAGACCTGCATCAATCTGCCAGCCATTACCGGAATAACCTGCCCAGCAGGCCACCAGCGATGTTGTTCACAATACCACCACCCAGTGCCGAGTTAGCATATGTGGAGGCCTGGCCGAATTTATCACAGCGAGAGAAGGCCATGGTGTTCGTGATAGTCAAAATGAGTGCAATAACTAAACCAAAGTCAATACCTATTGCCGACGTATATCAAAGTATCTTGGAAATAACTTACCAATCAGACTAAGCCAAATAACACTAACAAGTCTCACAATGGCCAATATCGCAAGGCCCACCCACAGAGCCGGTGTGACATACAAGCTCAGCCAGAAGAACCGCTTGTCAGTGGCCGTCACAGTACGAACGTTGGGGTCGGATGATTCGAAGACCCACTGCGAGTCGCCGGTTGAGGTGTCGACCTCGTTCCACCAACGTAGGCCGACCAGCCGGCGTCCTGCAATGTTTTTGAGGTAATAGAAATCCGCCGAGAGGAGGAGAAGGGTGAAAATGAAGACGAGGATACTAGATAGGCGTTAGCATCGCAAGTTGACAAGTGGGTAGTTCAGCGCAGGGTCCGTACAAGTCATCGATGAAGAGTAAACCAAATAGATACATCAGTAGCGCACCTGATTATCAAGTTAGTCAAATCACTCTTGTCGCTGTTACTCGGGTTGGGGGAGTACGAACCGATCCGAATGCCCAAGAAGACAAGTAGCGTGATCGGATGCGCGCTGAGGCGCCAGTTGAGTTCGCCTTGACCTCCTTGTGCTTGATCCATAATTTGCAAGGTGGAGGATTTGATATTATCTGAATGTAAAGGACCCCTCGGTCGGGCAATTGGATCAGTTTGATCCAAGTTAAGTCTAATGTTGACTGACGATGATCCCTATGTGGTCGAAACACGGGTGTATGCGGTGTCTCATGGCAGAATAATCAAAGCTGAAGCGGAAGCATAGACCAAGTGGATTTGTTGATGATGTGTTATATTTACTTAGTCAACGGCTGCAGCATCTGCCTAGCATATCATAGAAAACTCCATCATTTCAATATTGTCAAATGGGATCTATAAGAAGATCTGATCATTACTCTTACTTCTATACGCTACACTTCCCAAGCAATATTCACATGATTACACTGGGTGGATCCCCGTCAGCCACACGTGCAGTGGCGCTAAGCCGATAAGACACATAGTTTGATCTATATAAGACTGCACCAAAATCACATAAAAAGGCCAAAGTAGTAGAGAACTCACATCACAGTACAGAACTATCTTCAAAGAATACCTCAGTCATACAGTGGTTATACATATTGCCCCATTCCGCTCCCAAGGTTTAGGAAATCATCATCATGTTGGTTTGAGGAAAGAGTATCATGAAGTGCAGTAAAAGATGTATCCTTCGTCGGGCTTCTCTTGTTGAGATCAGCTTCCTAAGGGTGAAATTAGGAAAGTATTAACTAAGTTTTCTTTTGGTGGCAAGTGCACTCACTAGGGCATCTCTGATTCACCTACTATCTGTTCCTCTTCCTTGATGATATCTTCGACAACAGTGATCTGATCTTTATTGTAGGTCTTCACTCGATCAAAGTGTATCCAAACTACTCTCTCTATAATACCCCTGATGGCCATCATGTTCCGTGATTTATGTCTTCATGTAACACTAGCGCTTGATGTATTTGTCGAATGCCGTCTATAATATTGTTCATCTGCTGAGGTGTGGTATAATTATCCAAAATATGCAGAGTGATCCTCTCGAGGCCTGCGATATATTCTAAGAATATACCACTTTTTCTATATGGGAAAGTATGTTTGCACATTTTACACCTTTTCCGCCTATATTCCATATTTTCCAGCTAGTATCATCGTCTTCCTATCTACAACACTAATAGAAGTGAATGATCATTGGGGGGGGGGGGGGGGGGGGGAACAGCCGAAAAAAAACATTCAGAAAGGACTTTAGAAGGCTACTAAAAAAAAGACATGACAAAGCTGCATATACGGCCGGCTATTCTTGTTTGGAATGTAGGGGATGGATCTGTTTGTGATGATACATTTCGCTCTTCAAGTTTCGCTGCTAAGAATACCAGGATGGTCCCCATGCTAAGTTTTTTTTTTTAATTATATTGTCTCTATGCATAGTAAATAGCCAAGTATAGGCAATTTTACAAATTGCATTAGCTTCAAAAATTAAAAAAAGCAATCGACTCTTCAACCTTGTGCGTGGGATACACTATCAAAGCGGCTCTACAGATAGCCGACTCGGCTTCTTCCCGAGCCAACTTCATAAAGACCTCCACTCCTCAAGAAACGCAGTACACAGTACACAACTCTCTACAAGTGAATGTACACAGAAATTACCACCTAAAGAATGGCAGCCCGCAATACTCTCCGTCGTTCCCTCCTCTACGGTAAGCTCAAGCTCCCTTCCAAAGCTGCATCTTCCCCGCATTTCACCCCCCAGCTCCAAAAAAACTTAAGCTAACAACAATGCCAAACAGTTCCCGGCTCCTCCCAACGCTTTTTAGACAAGTCGCGCTCATTAACCGCCGACTGTGTCACCTACGATCTAGAAGACAGCGTGACTCCGCACATGAAAGCCGAGGCGCGCATGCTAGTGCGGAGAGCAATCGACCAAGCCGCACCACCAGGAATCCGGGAACGCGCCGTGCGAATCAATTCCGTAGACAGCGGACTGGCACTGGGCGATTTGACCGAAGTCGTGAGTGGGCTCTGATCACACATGCACACATATCATCACTTCCTACGTTCAACTTGCTAACCGTCCCAGCTCCAATCACCAAATCTAACGACAATCGTAATCCCAAAAGTCAACTCCGCCTCCGACCTAACATTCGTCACAGACGTTATAAACCACACCTTATCCCAGCAGCCACCAACAGAAAGAACCCCAATCTCACTCCTGGCTCTAGTGGAGTCCGCCAAGTCCCTGACAAACCTATCTCAGATCTGCGCCGCTTCACCCTTACTCCAAGGCCTGGTGTTCGCAGCTGAAGACTTTGCCTTAGATCTGAGCATTACGCGGACGCCATCACTAACGGAGTTCCTGTTTGCACGGTCTGCGATAGCCACCGCTGCGCGGGCGGCGGATCTACCGTCGACAATTGACCTTGTTTGCACTGCGTACAAATCCGAGAAAGGTGATGGGTCGCCGCCGGATGTGCTGCAAGAGGAGTGTCGGGATGGACGGCGGCTAGGATTCAATGGGAAACAATGTATTCATCCTTCACAGGTGAAGGTTGCGGATCAGATCTTTGGGCCGGATGCAATTGAGACTAAGTGGGCTATGCGGGTTGTTATTGCGGATGAGAAGGCTGCGAGAGCAGGGAGGGGTGCTTGGACGCTTGATGGGAAGATGATTGATGTTCCTGTTGCTCATAAGGCTAGGGCTATTGTTAAGAAGGCTGAGGCCTGTGGGGTTGATGTTGATGCTTTGAGGGAGCAGTGGCAGCATCAGGAGCCTGAGTAGGTGGGTCATATGCGGAGCACTCCATATTATCTACATATGCATGATATCCCTGTACATATTCCTTGTGCATTCTAATATGTTCTACTCCGTATACGGGAATTATTTACTTGAGAAGGGGGTTTTCCTGCTGTGCATCGTATTCGATTGCCTCGCTAGTTCTAGGAGTCATGCTGATACCACCTAAGTATGTAGAAGCATACAGCCAAGAAGAATCTACCATAAAAAGGATTGCTTGAAGAACTCGCCTGATGAATTTGCTGCGTGCTGTAGTTGAGTAACAGCTTTGGACCAAGAAGTTGAAAAAAGTTAGGTTATGAAGGGATTCAATAGATAAGTTTGGTACTGGGGTATCATGCTGCAAATCGAGTTGAATGACACGCTAGGTCATTGATCTTGAGTCTCTATTTCTTCGCGCTTGAGCAAATGGATTTTGCCCATAGTCAGGATGGGAGGCTCTCCGCCAGCGTTGGCCTCCATCAATTCACTTGCCATCTCCTTGGCTACCGACTTGTCATAACTGGTTGGATCAATGCCCAGAATCCCTCCGACATAACCGCCTCGCTCACCAGGTACACTGAATTCCCGGAACAAGTACCGCCACTCGTTCAGCCATGCTTTAACAGCCTTACCAATTTTATCTTTGCCGTTCTTCGAGTGGTGACCAGTGCCTGTGATGGCATATACCACTCGGAGGCCTTCTCGAGCATGCTTGAGCAGTATCTTCTCGAGATATTCGATAGCTTCTTCTGGGTGGAGACCGTGAAGGTCAACGTATAGTTCTTCCGAAGATTCATCCAATCCCTTGTTAGAGAGATGTTGATTACGTTCTTCATAAAGCTGGCGTGCAGCCTCCCGATGGCACCTGCGCATCGCGTCGTTCTCGGCCTGGCCGCG